GTGCTCGCGCTAAATTCCCAGGTGTCGGATTAGAACACAGGAATAGGTACTCTTCCCTTGGAATTTAGTGCAAGACTATCCGTACTACGGCAGTTATTGATGAACGTTCACCAAGTGCTAAAGGAACTCAGTTGTCCCACTCTGCTGTGCATTCGGCCGCATTTCTCGGACCGTGACAGCAGCCATAGCAGCTATAATAAACTTGCTGTGCAAGTTTATTATCCAATGAAGTAATTCACCTGCAGGCCACCGTCCCTGCGCCAGCATGCTGTTGGGTTGACAGTTGATATCATCGGAGATGACGGTGGAACTGTCCTGTGTGTTTGGCTTCACTGTAAAACATCCGGTGCTGGCTTACGAATACGTAAATGCCTCACCTTTGTGTGCCTTTGCGTGCATTCCTCCCAACCAGGCCGCGTTCGCACACAAGTGCGGATGCTGTGATCGGCGAACTGGTGTCGATTACAATGATCTGTCTCGTGACACACGCACACACCTCTTTTTGCCTTCCTGCAGCCGAGTGACAATTTTGCATGTAGGTATGCAGGCAGTGCTATTTACTCCTAAATGATACTTCGAATTACAACAACGGGGATTGATTTAATTCAGCAATTTTTGCCGCACCCTAGATACGCGACAACCATGACGTCATCCTACATCAACCCCGTCTTCGCATATTCGTTTCATAGTTACAAAGACTTCCTTGTCTGCGGATAAATTGTTATTAAGTTGTTAAAACCATTGACTCGCTTTACAATGATGGTTTTAACTTTTGGTAGGACACGGTATTATGTATCCAAGTATTATAGGTGCTCGCGCTAAATTCCCAGGTGTCGGATTAGAACACAGGAATAGGTACTCCTCCCTTGGAATTTAGTGCAAGACTACCCGTACTACGGCAGTCATTGATGAACGTTCACCAAGTGCTAAAGGAACTCAGTTGTCTCACTCTGCTGTGCATTTGCCCGCATTTCTCGGACCGTGACAACAGCCATATCAGCTGGTAGTATAGGCAAATAGTATTGCCGGCAATCGTAAGGGAGACTAGAGTGACCATTTCTGGCTTATTAACTGTCATCAGCCAGTCATACACAGACGCAATTGGTGTACCACCCGAGCCTCAAACCTGTGACCTTTTGCTCAGAGTCTAAAGCCTTAACCATTGAGCCACGACCTCTTTGTCTTGCTGGTTTAGGTCGGGCGATGTTGACATTCGTTGATGAACGACTAATCAAAAGGTAGCGAGTTCGAGGCTCGGGTGCTGCACCACTTGGGGCTGGGCATGACTGGCTGATGACGGCTAACAAGCCAGAAATGCTTATTCCAGTCTCCCTTGTCTTTGCCGGTAATACTGTCTGCCTGTACTACTAGTTCTCCTGTTCAGGAACAATTATAATATTTCATCAATGTCGTCGCCTGCTGCACCTTTTTCTGCGCCCCTCTAAGCTCACATCCACAACACCCCCCTTCCTTCCAGCCCACCTAGCATGAGGCTGGCAGTTCCATTGGTAAGATCTTTTGATCTAGATTCAATCCTGGGGGCTACAGTTACCTGCGGTTAAAGTATGCCATCCTGCTGACGGCGTCTCATTTGTCTCCTTTGACTTCGTCATTAATGCTTTGCGATATTTGAGAGAAATATGTCATCTAAATCTGAACTGTGATATCCATATCCCGCTGATCTATCAAAGCCTTTCCATTTGCCCCGTCTGGTAGACAACCTTCATATTGTTCATATTGTTTTTTTTCCTTTCTTTCAGGTCGGTAAGCTGAACCACCTCGTCATCCAGATAATGGAGAGCAACGGGATGAACAAGCAGTTAATACTGGAGGTACGTTTGTCATCAACAATGCACCCAATACCAACCGGCTAGTGCCCTGATATTTGCCTCCTGGGGCCGGCTGCAAACTCCTCTATGTTCACAGTGCGATAATTGGTTGTAAAAGTTTGAGCTGCCCAATTCCCGCAACCGAAACCACCACTGCTGCGCAAACTAGCAAAAGGTATTTTAAATGAAATGTTACCTCGGCAGACGGAAAGTAAACTGCAAGGAACCAATACTAACACGGGGAACCAGGAACCTCCCGTAAAAAAAGTGTCCTTTCGCTAAATTTGGGGAAATCAGGGTAAGTGTTACAGTTAGAATTAAGGTTGGAGTTTATGTTTGGGTTAAGGTTAATTTTGTGTTAGATTCAAGTTTGTTAAGGTTGGGATT